TTATTATGGCATTCTATCAGTCAGTCAATCAAGGTGCAGCCGCTGCGCAAGTGTTGGCCGTTGGCTAAGGTCAGCATTGGCCAGCGTTGCGTATGAGTAATGTTTGTCGGCAATCGCAAAACGCAAATTGATCTTGCGCCACTGTGCGGCCACAACGCCCACGACAACGCAAGCATATACTATTAGCTAAACAAAAAACTGCAATACAAATTCAATTCAAAACTCATATTCAAATCGATTTGGCCGCAGGTCAAAGCTAAGTAAAGCTGCCGTCGCCATTTTGTTTCCAAGGCGCGGGCTCTATCTCTATCTCTATCTCTGTCYGTGGCTCGGCTGACGCATAGGGGAATATGCGCGGCTTAAAAAAGATTTAGTATCTAGAAACGCTTTAATATTGCACATGACTAATTGGCAATCAATCAAGTTTCGCTGCTTCTTTCGGCAATTACTAAGCGAATGCAGCAAAACCCGAGAGCAAAACACGAAAAAAAAAAAAAATCAAAAACAAAACACAAATTCACAACACGAGATATACGAAAATAACATTAAAAAATCAAGTATTTACATAACGGAGCATTGTTGATTAGTCATGTTGTTGCGGTTGATGTTTGTGCATATATGATTGATTTCGCTCTTAGTATTTCTATTTTAGCTTTATTCACAATCTATTTTTGTAATTTACGCAATTTGTAATTTTTCTAAATTCAAATTAAATGCACGACGAAATGGGCTGCCAGACTTTGAAATGCAGCGGCATGCGAGTTGCAATATAATTGAAGTGAACTTAAAACTTTTCGCAAGAATCGTTGAGATACCGAAAATTTCTTCTCATGGAGCAGTGCTTTACAAAATTAGGGTAGAGTAAAAGATGGGAATTTCTTTTAATTTAATTTATGCAGCTCAGTTTTTGATTTCAAAAGATGCGCAATCGATAAAGCTGCCAGACTGTCCGAAGTAGAAGTGTGCAACATGTATTGCGTTTCAAGTTAGCGCAAAACTGCGCTCAACCGATATGAAGCACATGTAAATTTGCTTATCACACAACAATGCTCAAAGATTTATTGCAAATATCAAGGCAATAAATATATATATCTGTCTATTGAGCGATATTAATTTGAAATTTCAAATAAATGAGCTGCAAGACTGTCAGAAGTAGAAGGGGTCGTGCCCTGCAGCCAACTTCAAGTGAGCGCAAAACTGCGCGCAGCCAACATAAATCGAACGCAAAATTGCTCGTCGCCAAACAACGCCTACAAATTTGGCGCCACAGCATTCGTTGCGGATGAATAAATTAAATTGGATTTGTGCTGCCAGCTGTGATCATGTATTCGCCGCGCAAGTCGCTGTCGACGCCAGCGGCGCACGAGTTTGGATTTCCCTACACTCCGTATGAGATACAGGAGCAGCTGATGCAGCAACTCTTCCAGGTGCTTGAGCACAAGCAAATCGGAATTTTCGAAAGTCCTACGGGTACTGGCAAATCGCTGACGCTCACCTGTGGCGCCCTCACCTGGCTGCGACAGCATGAGCAGCTGGTGCGTACCGAGCTGCTGCAGCGCATTGATCAAGTGCAGGCGCAACTGAAGCAGCTGCAAATGGAGAGTGCCCAGGCGGAGGATTGGATAACGGCACAAAGCAAGACGCGATCGCAGCGACTGGAGCTGGAACAGCTGCACCGGCTGCGCGAGCTGCTGCAGCAAAAAGAGCAAGAACTGGAACAGATCAAGCAGCGCAAAAGGCAGCAAAAGGAGCATCAGAGACCCGCAAGACGAGCAAGCGACCTGAAGGAAACTCCCGTTGAGGAGGAGGAGGCGCTTAACTCGGATGAAGAGCTGGATAACGTAGAGAGTGTGCTAGAGGAGCAGCCAGCAGAGCTGCAATCGGAGCGTTTCCGGGATGTGCAAATCTTCTTCTGCAGCCGCACGCACTCGCAGCTCTCGCAGATTGTGGCTGAGCTGCGGAAGACACCGCATGGGCAAAATGTGCGCTGCATTGCGCTCGGCTCACGGCAGCAGCTGTGCATCAATGCGCAGGTGCGCAAGCTGCCCAACATTGGGCTCATCAACGAACGTTGCCTGGACATGGCGCAGTCCAAGATCAGCGCCAATGCCATCTCCAAGTCCCGCCAGACGCTCAGCCGCTGCGTCTACAAGAGCTCCGCCCAGCTGCAAAGGCTCAGCGATTCGGCGCTTTGCGAGCCGCTCGACATCGAGGAGCTCGTCGCGGAGGGCTCCGCCTGTGGCGGCTGTCCCTACTATGCCACGCGTGCCGCCCAGYCGCAGGCCCAGCTGCTGCTGCTGCCGTATCCAATGCTGCTGCAGCGCAGCGCGCGCCAGCAGCTGGGCCTCGATCTGCGCGGCGCCATCATCATTGTGGACGAGGCGCACAATCTGCTGGACACCATTGCCCAGCTGCACAGCAGCGAGCTGAGCCTGGCCCAGCTGCAGCTGGCCAAGCAGCAGCTGGCTGGGTACAAGCAGCGCTATGCCCGGCGCCTGAGCAGCGCGAATCTGTTGCGGATCAATCAGCTGCTCTATGTCGTGCGCCGGCTGCTGCAGCTGCTCGAGGCAGGCGGAGAGCCGCGCATGCTGCGCACCTACGAGCTGAGTGCCGAGGGCGACTTCTTCAACATTGACTTGCATGAGCTTCTGGAGTTCTGTGCGCGCACGCGCCTTGCCCAGAAGATGCAGAGCTTTGGCCGGCAGCTGCAGCGCGAGCCGCAGCCCAGCGAGAACCGGCCGCCGCCCACGCAGCAGCTGCTCCAGCGCCTGGCCGCCCAGCACGAGCAGCAGTGCCAGACGCTGGGCAAATGCAAGCGCAAGGCGGCCGATGAGAACGCGGATGACAAAGCGAAGCAGCCGCCACACCCACAGCCCGCAGCTCAGACGCCAGCTATGTCCTCGCCCTTTCGACCGCTGATCGCATTCCTGGAGACGCTCACCAGCAATGCCGCTGACGGCCGAGTGCTGCTCAATCCGGAGACAGCCACACTCAAGTATTTGCTACTCAATCCTGCCGAGCACTTTGCGGACATTGTCAAGGAGGCGCGCGCCGTAAGTGGCTGATCTCTGTCTCAATCTCAATCGAATACAAATCATTTCATTTTTCATTTCTCATCTGCTTTGCAGCTCATCATAGCGGGCGGCACCATGCAACCCACCCAGGAGCTGACGGAGCAGCTCTTTGCCCATTGTCCAGAGCGTGTGGTTGAGCGCTTCTATGACCATGTCGTGCCAGCGGATGCTGTGCTCCCATTCATCCTGCCCACTGGACCAACAGGCGCCAGGCTCTGTTTCAGCTATGCCGAACGCACCAGCCCAGCCATGGTATGGATTGGATATAGATATAGATATGGATATAGATATAGATATAGATATAGATATAGATATAGATATAGATATAGATATAGATATAGATATAGATATAGATATAGATATAGATATAGATATAGATATAGATATAGATATAGATATAGATATAGATATAGATATAGATATAGATATAGATATAGATATAGATATAGATATAGATATAGATATAGATATAGATATAGATATAGATATAGATATAGATATAGATATAGATATAGATATAGATATAGATATAGATATAGATATATTCTACTCCTCTATAACTTAAGAGATTTCAAGATTTAGTCCTATGATCTAGATATGCTCTATGCACTAACCCTCTACTATGTAGTAACTCTCTAATCTCTAATCTTTCTCTCTGCAGCTGAAGGAGCTGAGCATGGTGCTGCAGAACCTTTGCGGCGTGCTGCCAGCGGGCGTGGTTTGCTTCTTGCCCTCGTACGCCTACCTGGACACGGTCTATGGGCATCTGGAGCAGAGCGGCGCATTGCAGAGGATTGGTCAGCGCAAGCGCATCTTCCGTGAAACGGCTGGCGGAGCTGGCGTGGAGCAGTTGCTGCAGCAATATGCCAATGCCATTGATCAGACAGCGGGCGGAGCGCTGCTGCTGAGCGTGGTGGGTGGGAAGCTATCGGAGGGCCTTAACTTTGCCGATCAGCTGGGCCGCGGCGTCATTGTCGTCGGCCTGCCGTACCCAAATCGTACGTCACCCGAACTCAAGGAGCGCATGCGTCACCTGGACGAGACGCTGGGCAACGGTGCCGGCAACGAATACTACGAGAATCTCTGCATGAAGGCGGTCAACCAGTGTATCGGTCGCTCGGTGCGCCACATACGCGACTACGCCTGTGTCTATCTTCTGGACGAGCGCTACGGCAGCGAGCGCATCCAACAGAAACTGCCGGCATGGATTGCCCGGCACATCCACGTGGCCAGCGAGGGCTTCGGTGCGGTGCAAGCGAGAACGGCGCGATTCTTTAAGGCCAGAAGTTAGGATCTCTATAGAGATTCCCTTTCGTCTGTTTTAGAGAGATCTAAATGAAGGAACCAATGTGAATGCTAGCATAGCTAGAGTATATGGAGGGATTGGTAGGCATACTCTAAGAGTTGACAGGAATAGAAGTTGTTTGGTGCATCTTTGTGGACTTGGGATGTTGAGGGAAACTTCTGAATTCTGGAGGAGATTGGATGCAATTGAATTTATTTGTTAAAGCTTGAAAAAGCTTAGGATTAAAAGTAACTCGAATCAGAATATAAGCAGAATCTATAAGATATCTGAGAGGTTCCATGTCAATGTCAAGTTCCAGTTAGGCTAAGATCTTGTACAATACTTCGTAATAGTAAAAAGTTCATCCAAGTAGAATTCTGGTAATCCGAAAATGAACTTTATATATAAGTTAACATAGTGTAGGATTACTCCTTTGCCTTTGCTAAAGGACCTTGATAAAGCCAATTCGAAAATGTAGCTAAAGAAGCAGCTGAGAAAAGATAAACTTAGTCAAGTCCTAAGAGCATTGTTAGGGATATGCCCGAAAGATCAAAAACTGCAAAAGAGAATCGCACATCTTTAGCTATAATAAAACAAATTCCAGGAATTAGTATGCTAAAGTTATATAAACTCAATATTTATATATAAGTAAAAAAACACACAGCTGTATATACAATATTTTCTTTTGGGAATTGCGGAGGCTCTTTTAAGCCCAATTTTCTACTGAGCGCGAGTATTGAGCGAACAGCAGATTGTAGGTTGGGAAGCTGCAGCACTGCATATCTGTGCGCTTCCAGTTGGACAGGGTGGAATATTCGATCTCTAGCTCTTTCATTGTATCGTAGGCCAGCGAGGACTTGTTGGCAAAGATGGTAACGATGAATTTGCCCGGCTTGAAGGTGCGAACGACCTGGTTGATCAGACGTGTGTAGTTGTTGAGGGCCACGTTGCTCTCGAAGCTGACGTAGGAGAACTTCTCCTCGGGTGTTATATGTATGGTCATGTATTCGCCCTGCTCGTTGATGCCGTTCATCGAGTAGCCGCACGGATCGAATAGGAAGTCATCAATCACCATGTCAGGGAGGATCTGGTCGATGCCAGAGTGCTGGGTCGCCTCGGGACCGGTGGCGAAGCGGCTCTTGTTGAAGGCCAACATGACATCCTTGTCGAGATTCTGCATAAGTATCTCAATGGTCTGGTCTGGATCAGTGTTCAGATGGTCTTCCTGCTCGGCAGCAAGCAGCAGATCAGGCAGGGCCTTGACTACGACTGGCCTGCTGAATGTATAGAGATACCAGCATTCGAGATTGATTGAGCCGAGACAATAGGAGCGGCCCTCGGGAAAGATGCTATCCAAATAGGTGACCTCCTCGTAGAACCCTTTGTGGGGACTCTGCTGCACCTCGGGACGGGTGAAGTTCTTGCGCGAATAGAATATATCGGTGATGACAGTGTATCCCTGCTGCTTGGCCAAATCGAGCAACTGCTCAAGGCACCTCAAAGGTGTGGTGGTGCCACAGGTTTTCAAAATCCAGCGGCGCTTCGAGACGAACATGCTGCTCTCGCTGAGCAGAAAGGCATCAATGAAATCGTTTTTCTTGAAGCTGATTATCTCGCATCTAACGTGGCGCAGCAGCTCTTCCCATTCGGGGCGTGTGATGTTGCGTAAGTCGCCATTCTGCTCTGGACGCTCCTCAAACCAAATCTCCAATAGCTTCTCAACACCTTCGAAATAGTGGGATGCATTGGCAACGTCCAGCATTCCCTCCTCCATTGGATAAAAGAACTTCAAAACAACTGCGTTTTAGAGATGAACAAGATAAGCACCAACGAATGGTGCAGCACGACACAACTATCGATGTGTCTATCGATTAAAAGAATGGCCGAATAAAAAAAGACGTTATCGTGTAACGCGAAAAACACCAAAAAGCCAATTTTTGTAAATTTTGATTTTGCTTTTAATTTTTAGCAACGCGGTGCATTAAATAGTAATTCAAACCAGTTTTATTTTATTTTTTTGTACTGTACAATCGAAATATGCTACCCAAATAGTAGCGAATATATTTGTATTTATTGTATTCTAGTTTTTTTTCCGTAAACAAGATGTGTATATCTCGGGAGTAGAAAACCGACTGAGCTGAATAAATAATTTAGGTGTATAGCATTACAAACTTTGCAATGAGAAGCCTACTACGATTTCAATATTCAGTTTATTGTATTTTTTATTATATTTTTTCGTATACTTTGAGAGTCGAGAAAGGACTGAAATAATGAACTGAATGAGTAGTATAGGTACTTAATATTACAAACTTTCTAACACGAAGCCAACTACAATTTCAAAATTAAGTTTTGCGCGGGCAAACTTGAAACTTGTATATTTTATATTTGTCAGATAGCTTTTTCACAAATTCAGTATTTTTGTTGTGGCATTTCTACGCATTATTTGATAGAGAATATAGTTAATAAATATATATCACTTATAATGTATTAAGTCGTCATATAATTTGTAAAATTTATATCTAAACAACTATTCATGTAAACAAATATTTTTCTAGATGTATATACATATTTATATATATGTAAATATTTGTAACATTTTCTCAAACGCAATGCTCTCTTTGTATTATCTCACATATGTATGTATGGAGGAAACAATTTAATTTTATATTATATATATATTCACAAGTCACATTCGTGGGTCACATAATTTGTAAGAGTATTTGAACTTCGTCATGAACAATCTCAGTTTATTTTGGCCTGCTTACAACCACTTTCTGTATTTCTACTTCAGTCGTGCACGGTCACACTGACGTTGATGTGTGTGTTGTTGGTCGCCGTCTCTACGAAATCATTTGTTTAGCAGTGCGTATTTTAAATTAAACTGAACATGTGAAGCTAAACTAAACGTGAAATTAGTAACTATAAACGAAATAGCGTTGCCTATGCATTAAGTACGTAATTCGGCGGAACTGAATAAAAAAGTGTAGTTCATAAATAATGCAGTTAATGTGTTTGTCGCTTTCCATATACACATATACTGTATATGTGTGTGCGTGTGAGCCTGCGTGAGGATGTGTGCGTGTGTTGGTTATTTGAAAAGTGCATTTTGTTCGTTATAAATAGATGCAATGGCTTGCAATTCGAAACGCTTTACAGTTAGTAGAGCCCCATCCGCAGCCAAGTTCAAGTCCAGTTTGTTACTTTTGGTTGCATTTCAAATTTTCGAAAATTCCTCTCTTCTATTATCTCTACCTCTCCCTCTCGCGCTATGTCTCTATTTACTTTTCACATGTGCGCTGGGCTGATAAGCTGAGCTGGAACTGGTGGCTCCCCTGTTTGCTTATTATATCTACTAAGTATTCCCACTCTGTTTGCCTGCGCCTTTCCTTTTTGATTCATGGGCCAGATATGCCACGATATGCCGATCGCCCGACACGCTGCACCAACAACAACACCAATATACATATATTACTAATAATTTTACATCAACATACTTGCCGGCCGATAAAAACGGCTGTCGCCAGCTTAAGAATATATATTTTTTTATATTCATTCAGGCATGCATATGTGCATATGTATGTGTATTTTTTTTATTGTCGCGTAAAAGGTTGCTCAGATTACATGCACACAGACACACATATTTGCCCCTGTGAGTGTGTGTGTGTRTGTGTGATGGCTCTGCCTGGCCAGAAACTTGGATACGTTCCGTTTGTCACCGGAGCGGAGCTGCAGTCAGCGAAACTAGCAAAGCGGTTATTCTCGTTAGTTGTTGTTATTGTTGTAGAAAACTTGTTTTTATCGCTGACTATGATAAAAGTGGCACACATATTATACATTTTTAATATACATAACAGAACAAAAAATTTGAAAACTCAGCAGCCGAAAGCCATCTTTTCGCATGCAGTTGCATTTAAATATATACAAACCTATTTAGTTTTTGACAGTTATCGTTATCGATATGAATCATGCGCCGACTTGTTTACGTTCCTCAGCTACAATTTGAGTTCCAGCAGCAGCCGCCTCTTCTACACAACCCAGCTCAGCTCAGCCCACCCGCCCCACTGGGTGGCACTGCGAATGCCCTTCGCTAACAAGACAGTTACAGTTACTGTTTACTGTTAACTGTGACCCGTTAACTTAATTATTGTAATAATGAAGCTAGTCGTCTCAGCTTGGGCTATTTTTGTATCTGTTTCTGTAGCTGTATCAATTCTCGTCTAATAAGAATTGGCTGTATTTGATGGCATTTGATGCCTGCCGCAGGGCATTCGGGCTTCGGTGTGCGCTGCACGGTGCGGCGCCTGTTTCGTTCGTTCATTTTCTCGCTTCTTGCTTCTTGCTTCATGCTGCTTGCGGCTGCCTTTGCAGGCAGCCAAAAACGTTGCGCAGGTTTTTCGATTCATTCGCATTTGGACCGCTGGCGCGGCAACAACGCTACTYGCGAAACGAAACGAAACGGTAAATGAAACAACGCCCCGTGGCCGTGTTTAACGTGCGTCGGCAAAACTAAAAAAGAACACAAAAAAAAACTAAAATAAAATAAAAAAAAAAAAAACTGAAAATACACAAAACTTAATTAGTTTACAACGCGTGTGGTGCAACGACAACAACAACAATAATAATCATTATTATAGCAATAATAATAATGGCTACGACAATCAAATTAATTGTGCATATATTTTTTTTATAAACAATAAATCTAAATAAATTGCCGCTGATAAGCAGCGTTTGCTTTTTTGTGTTTTTTTTTATCGAATTGTGAGCAAAATTGTTTTTCCTGCAAAGTTTGTCCTGTTTTTTTTTTTGGCGTTGGAGTGCGAGTGAGATAGCAAGCGGCGAATGCGGCAATTGAAATCAAAACAAAAATTGTTGTGCTTGGCAATTTAGCAAAGTGCCGTTAGCAAGGCTGCATATATGCCGTTATATGGCGACAGTTTGTGTGCAGAATTTATGCCCTTTTTTTTGTATGTTTCTATTTCTTTTTGTTTTTTTTTTCTTTTTTTGGGTGTGTGAAAAGTGAAAGTGAAAATTTAGCGCAGGCAACGCGCACACATACACACGCACGTGCACACACACACACACATGTGCACTCACACACACATACACACACAGAGCGAGGCACGCACGCTGTGGCACAGGACATGGAAACAGACGAAATAGAGAACAAAGAGCGCGCGAGTGTATGAGAGAACGTTTTTGTGTCTAGGCAGAGGCGAACGGGAGCGACAGAGGCAGATAGACCGGGCGAGCGGCCCAGAGAGAGGAAGAGAGAGTGAGAAAGAGCAAGCGATTGGGAATTTGGAATTTGGCACAGCGTGTGAAGCGCACGCATTAACACCCCCGCCGCAGCAGCCGCTCTCTTCCTCTGTCTCGCTCGCACGCTCGCCCTCTGCGAACACTAACGTGCCTCGTGTGTGTGTATTTGTGCGTGCGTGTGCGTAAAGCATACGAATATAGTCCTCCCCACAGCCCACTCAACTTCTTTTACCCCCTCCCCCTAGCAGCTGTGAGTGTAATGCGCTAAACTCTCAAGTCAATTTTGCGTTGAAACGAGACGCGGCGTTGTGACGTCAAAAGCAGCAGCAGGAGCAGCATCAGCAGCAGGAGCAGCTTTGCCACATCTACTACGCCGCCCGTTGCCACCCCACAGCACACGCACACACACACACGCTCACACATACAGCCACGCAGCATAACAATATAAAGGAGCACATACCAAAAAAAGAAAAAAAAAAAAAAAAAAAGAGAAGCAAGCAAGCAGAAGAAGAAGCAGCGCTGCGAAGACGACGACGGCGACTAGCCGAAATACGAGTGACTGAAACAGAGAGGCAGAGAAAGGGAGCGAAAGAGAGCGAGCGAGCGTGCAAGCGCCAGCGTTGTGTGAGCAGCAACAACAACAATAACAGGAACWGCAAACGGAGCAAAAGGAGCCATAAAAATGGAACAGCCGAGCATACTCGTTAAAATCCTGCATTCAATACCGCATGTGAATTACACATTTCGTCGGGTTAATGACACCTTCAATCCGGATAGCGATGTTTACCTAGAGGTGAGTACCAGAGCCCCAAGGATCCCCCGCTCCCCTGCCCACTCGACCTGCTTCCCACACCCAACCAGCCATAACGAGCGTGTCAAAGTAGCGCCATACTTTGGTTGTTGTTGTTGTTGTTGTTGTTATTCTATTTGCTGTGCCATTTGGAGTGGACGCCAAGTGGCGCCTCGAGTGGCGCCCCTCCACTTGAGACCCCGCTATTATGCACTTGAAGTGCGTCCCATTTACATTGATTGCATTTTGATTTGTTTAGTTCCCAATACATATATCAATAGCACTATCTGTATCCTTGCCTCAAATTCTATGTGTGTGTGTGTGTATATAGGTATATTGTAATATATGTATATATGAATATATCACTTTTTTTTGTTTTAAGCAAGCGTTCTCATTTACCTGTAAGCAGCACGCGCTCTCTTCTGCTCTGGCTGCCTATGTAACACTCTCTCTCTCTCTCTTGCTCTCTCTTTTTCACTCGTTGCTCTCTCTCTCTCTCTGTTTGTCTAACTAACTTTGCTGCAATTGCACAAAATATCTGGCAACAACAACAACAACAAAGCTAAAGCCGCTTTGATAAATTTCAATATTTCCCATTTTGTTTACGCCTTTTGTAGTCTGCCTGCGTGTGCGTCTGTCGAGCCCTTTTTGTTTCATTTCCCATAACGTTCCGCCTTGGCTGCTGCTGCTGCTGTGGCTGCTGCTGCGGCTGCCTGCCATGTGCGCTGCATGTGCCCGGATTCTTGTCTACCTCCGCCCTCGCTTGTTGAGTGGGGCTAGCGGGGGGTTACAGCTACTACTACGTACTCACACAAGCACACACACACTTCCGGCTTCCCATTTTCTCTTGCTCTTCCTTTCTTTCATTCCCTTTGTTTGGTTTCTTTTGATTGTCCGTTGTCTACGGCCGCCGCCATGTATCAATGGGCATGGCCGAACCCAAAAACCAACAACAATAATAAAAATACAAAGAAAGAAAGAAAGCAAGCAAGAAGAAAAACCGAACCCTACAGCCGCCACTCACCTCAATTCGCAGCAGGGAAC